AAAAAAAAAAAAGAAAAATAATTACTGGACGAATTTCTCAGTGTTACTGTGTCTGCTAAAGGTTTTTGAAAAAATACATAAATAAATAAGTACTCAAAATGTAAATTTTCATTGTTAATATACGGTCTAATAACACCTACTGTTGTTACAATAACTGGGCTTCCATAATCAATGTAAGAAAATATTCTTACACAGAACACACACATAAAACACGCACAATGGCACATTCACACACACACACATACACACACATACACACACACTTTTACTATGCACCTGAAAAAGTTTAAAAAAAAAAAGAAACAGAAAAAGTAGAGAAGCTTTGTAGCTGTATAAAAGGATGAACAAACAAGCATGAAAATAAAAGAGTTTTTTAAGAAAAAGTACGAAGATGAACAATGTGTACATCGAAACAGTTTTGTGTAACAAAAACTGTGTTCATATGAGCATTGAAAAACAAAAATTGGTATTTGGAACGGGGCAGGAGATGGATAGATTTTGACCATAGAAGGGTTTTCAAACAAAAAACAAAAATCACTCTTCACTGGCTTTCCTCGCTATCAAGAGTTGATGAAAGACTGGTTAGATAAAACGTCCAATACCTGCAAAACAATAAACTGAAGATAACATCTAAACCAAACTGTGATAAACACCGAAACAACAACAGCAACAAGCAAAGAAAGCTATCTGAACTAACAGACGAATATATATCATATTTATTTTGCTGCCGCTACTGCTTTTACTGCTGCTGTTGCTGCCGATGATGTAGAAGAAAAAAGAGGAAAAAACTATATTCAACTAAATATCTATAAATTTTCACACTTTTACAAGTTACGTTATTTTCCACAACAATACTACAGAGGTAAATAAACAAAAAATAGAATCAATTTATTGAAAAAAGAATAAATATATATTTGCCACTTTTTCACAATTCAAAAAATTATTTTAAAAGTATAAGAATTATTAAATTAATCTTTATTTTTGAATCATTTTTAATACTGCATAATACAGTGATCAGCTAATTGATTACTCAAAAATAAATATACAAAGTAATCAAAAGAAAAAGTAAAGAAAAAAGTGAAAAAAGAAACAACAAATTCCTTACACAATGTTGAACAGCAAATATGAAGTCGGAAATAATATAGCGCTGCAAATAAATTGAAATTTATTGATCAAATTGATCGATGGATACTGTAGAAGACAATTAAAATTGCACAACAAATCCCTTTTGTTGACTGATTATATACAGTTAATTTGTTCAGTTAATAATTTCTTTTTTCTTTTTTATTCTTTAAAAAATATCTATATTCTTTAAACTTTTAAATTATTCATAATTTTATTACAGCTGTTATGAATTTAATTGATTTTTTTCTTTTTTTTTCACACAATCATTCATTCAACAATCTTTTTGTATTCTAAAAAGTTTGTACGATTTTTTTTCCGCTTCATCCCTCTTCCCAAATACATTTGTTGAGCGCTTCAATTGCCTTTGCTCAAACTTTTACAACACTAATCATCGGGCTATGAATTTTAAATTAAAGAAAAAATCATTTTGTTTTTTGCTTGTTGTTTTATTTAGATTGACCAGCTGTAAGAAAGAAAGTAAAATGTAGCACATTTCTGTAAACAGTAATATTTCAAAAAACAAATGAAAGGATTCTTTTTAGTTGAAAAAAAACAGAACTCTCTTTCTTACAGCTTTTGATCTCTGTTCTACCAAAAAATTTTTTTGCTTATAGCGGTGATTTTAGTGCTGATAGCCATTTGTAAATAGTGTTCAGTCTGCAGGACGTTTTCTGATCTATTCTTGGAATCCTGAGATGCTTGACAGTTTATAGTATTCAAATTTCAATTCTGCTTTCATGTGAGATTTAATTAGACTAAAAGAAGTGGTTTTTTGTTTGCCGTTATTTAAACTGCTATTTACTTGACTAGAGTGGTACTGAGACGTTAATAATTGAAGCTCGCCCAATCTACAATGGGTGACAATTATTAGCGAAGAAACTAGGTAACCCAAGGTAAACCCTTTTTCAAGTATTCCACTGCTCATCTTATTCTTTTTTTCATTTATCTTCTTTCTTTTACTGCACACTACTGGATGAAAAGCATGCCTACTTTATGACTTCTATTTCTCAGTTTCCTACTTTTCCTCATCTCTCAGTTTTTTAACTTCTTAAGTGACTTGCCTCTCACAATAAATATTTTTCTATCACAGCTAGGGTTAATAAAGTTGATTAAATATTTTGATATTAAATAGCAGACAAATTTAAATTAGTGAAAAGATTTTAGAAACAAAAACAATCCATAATGAAGCGCAAAAAAAAAGCTTATCTTCGTTATATATCTCTGGTTCCCTGCACTCATCTAAGCTAATCAGTAAGTTTTTTAGACATGCAAAAAAACGTTTTTTTTTTTTCTTTTTTTTTTTGCTTTCGTAATTGAATCTAGTTTAATTAGACACAAAACGATTTTGCTGAGAATGAAAAAGTAGTCGATTAGGTGCTTAAAGAACTTATTTTATGGGGCGTGTACCAAATGTGACGACAATTTTTATCTGCCATGACCGCTTTTTTTTTCTTTTTGACGAAAAAACGTCTGAACCAACCTATATTTATCAACTTTTTCAGCACTGATTGACGAAAAAAACTTTTTCAACTTCTTCCATGGTCGGAGCCTTTTCAGCACACACTGTGGTGGTCTAAAATAACTGTCTTGTTCTATGATTTATTTTATTTCGTCACAGATATTATCGCAGTACAAATCGAAATAAAGGGAAGTATAAGTTTATTTATTCCTAATAAAATCTATAAAAATTTTGTTCAACTACATTTCTGTCAAAGTCATCTTCATTTTTTATCTTAACAAATAATAATCAGTCGTGGATGGCCAAGTAGAATTTATTATAACCTTGGGCACTACCTTTGTCTTAAAAGCTCAAATGAGTTCACTACGTTTAATTAACCCAAGAAAAACATATTCTTTTGTTTCTTTCATTATTTTTTTCTTTGTTAGTACGAGTAAAAATCAATTTTGAGTTTTGGATAAAATACTCTTTTCTGCTCATCATTGACTTATTAAACGGGTAATAATGAGGAAAAAAGAGCTCTTAATAAAACGGAGGATAATAAAATGTGAAGAGAAAACGCACATTTGATTTTGCTCTGAGTGAACCCTGGTCATTTCAAAGTCGTAGTCAGCACACACAGCAAATGAATTTGATAGCGGTTCGCCACTACCACTTTGAATCTGAAGCAAACAAAAAAACCTCAGGCAGCAGTGAACTGATCTTAGCAAACAGCAGCGTAGGGTAAATTTAATTGTAACTTTTTGGCAGTAAAATTAAAAAACGTTAAACTTAACGCAGAAACCAACAAAATTATCGGCTGGATGTGAGTTGTCAGAAGCTGTGAAATAATTATTAGAAAATACCTTTACCTCGACGTGATTACCCATCGTCAGCCGTCGCTTATCTACCCAAAGCTATAAACAAATAAAAATATGCAAACTTTTGAACACTGTTAGCAGTTTTTTCCCAAAATTAATGAGATGAAACATGTTTCTCTTGTTAAAAAATAACCCAACAAAATTGTGAAATAATAAAGCTACCTTTCTTAAGCCCAGCATAGGACTTGGTACATCCATCCATTCTTTTTTTTCTTCTTCACGCCTTCTACTGGCTTTACCTTTCGTTGAGTCTTCATTTCTTGAAATGAATCCAACGACAGCAAGCTCCAACAACGACATGAATATAAATAGCATACCACTATAAAATAAACGTTGCTGAAGGGAGAAAAAGTCTTTGTCGTGCAGTAATCGAATTTGAAAAGTTAGAAACAATTTGCTTCTTTCCTTCTAAACTTGACCAGTGCGTATATATGTTCTAAATAGCCAACCTTAACATCCATACATCTATAGCTTTTATATACGAGACTCTCGGTAGATTCCTTATAATATTACCAAACTGAAACGTCATGGCCAACAGTGAATTAACTCCAAGCATTGTACGTGCTGGAATCGCCCTTAAAAATCACAAGTTTTTCTTTTCTTTTGGCGTTTTAAGATAACATTTGAAAGTAAAATATATAAAGTCATAAACATTTAAGAAATTAAAATTTATTGTCAAACTACAAACTTTGACCCAAGGAAGAAAGATATCCATGAAATCAGAATTGTTACGTAAGTCGGAACGTATCCTTGCATCAAATACCAGCCGTATCTTCGTTGGAATACAAACGATACGGTAAGCTCGTCCCAGTAACCAGCTGCATATAACTGTAAGCAGTTAATCAATAGCAAGTCGAATAAGAATGCAGTTTTTTTTTACCAGACGAGCTTTGATTATAAAGATGTCTAGTCGATAAATGATGTGAAGTAAAAGTATTAACAAGGATAAGTGACGAGATACCTGTGGGACCGCACGAACACTGTAATTTACTAAAGTAAAATCAGGTAATTCAATATGTTTGAGCAACTTGACTGGTTCAAGTACGTTCCATGACATACGCACTTCACCAGTGTTATAATTAAACCTACAACTGTCGTTTTAGCATTGATAGTTTATTTCGAAGTTTAATAAAATAGAAATGAGAGCTGTTAAAAACAGTAAGCCAGAGACGGTACATGTAAAAGTTATAATTTTAGCCATAACTCTTGATCTAATAAACAAGTTTGCTATATAAGGTGTTCTACCGTTTATCTGTTAGTAATACTGTTAAAACAAACAAATACTTTTATATTTAAAGTACAACTATTATAAACATACGATTCAAAAGTCAGGTAACACTTCTGTGTATCAAACGGAAATCGTTTCAGGTTCATATCACAAGGCCCCGTTGACTTCATGCGGTAATTTGTCCACAAGGTTCCATTTTCGAACAGCATCAGGAATAAATTTCTATATTTAACAAAACTTGAAAACCACTAGCTACAGATAGCCTATTTTAGAACTAACAAACTATACTACTGTTACTAATTGAACGACTTTGATGTTGTAATCTGGTTACTGATTTAAAACCTTAATCGCCGTTTTTATCTCAAAGTTACCTGCAAGTGCTTTTAGTGCTTCAAGGAAATTGTATTTGAAACTAATAACAAGTGATATTGACCTCTATGCAGTTTTCAAAAAATATATATATATAAATGAAAAATAGACTCTAGTAATTACAGTGGACTATATCTTGATATTTTGACTTTAAAAAGTTTTCATATCAAAAGAAATTTTATCTTTAAATTTTTTAAAAATTTTACGAGTCAGATAAACAATTTGAAACGAGTAGAAATTGATTTCAATTTCTTTCTTTTTTTTAAACGAAATCTGGTGAAAAAGCGTATATTGAAGCACCGATAGCGAAACCTGAATGGAGATTCGTGTATTTTCGCTGTTTTCGAATTAATAAAACACGTATTTGGAATCCACAGCTTTTGCAACATTGTACTGTCAAAAGTTATATTTTCACTACACGGTTTCGGTATCATATGTCCAAAAACAAGCGCAGGATCTCTCCAAAATTCATTTATGTACAGATCTGGAAAACAAAAACCAAAAAAATAAAGGTGCGTTAGGTTCTGTTAGAAATGAAGTTTTAAATTTGACAATTCCTTAATTCATTTCTTTTCCTGATTTTCAACTTTTTACCAATTTCAAAATCCTGCGTCATTTCGGACACAGCCGTCACCTCCTGCACCCACATATCGACCCGAACATGCGTTGGATGTGCTGGTATATAGTGCTTGTTATAGGCAGGCTGCAATTTCGCACCATATTAACCTACAGTTTAACTGTAATTGTTAAAGAAATGCACCTAAAAAGTAGCTTCTATACCGTGATCATTTTGGAAATGACGACGGAATCTGTTGTACAGTTTCGATAGTTTGTTTGATTAGAATGAGCAAATAACTGTGGCTCCATTCGGCCATATGAACTTAGCAGTTCAGTTAAAAATGATACCATCAACCATCCTGGATGGCTCATCTGTAAAAAAAAAGAGAACCTTGAGTTAGTTGAATGTTTTTTTCAAGCAGTATATAATACAAATAAGTACAAAAATTGTTATAATGCACTGTTTGAAATGTAACTCTACTTTCTTCTTTTGCTGATCTTAGTTCCAGTGCACTATCAGTATTTTAAATTATATTCTTTACAGAATGTTATTTTTTTAGTTGTTGAATATCAGCAGCAGAATTAATAAAATTTTTTTTCAACTTTTCACTGAAATTTTGATGAGTGTTGTTTTCTTCACAACAGCGTTAAAGTTTTGCCTTTTATAAATGCTCATTTTTATATTCTCTACATTAAACAGTGATTTTTTCCTAGCGGTCGCTATCTTTTTTTTCAGTCAACAATTTTGGTAGTTGCTGGTCAAGTCAGAAAAAAAGAGCTATTTCAATTGAATTTATCACCTTCACTTTTAAAAATGCTGTAACAGTCAAAAATCGTATGTTTAATAAAGAAAAAGGATTATGCTTACCTATATGTGGATTAAGAGTCCTTGCTGGAAAAATCACAATGCATGATCCGTTGTTGAGCTGTTATAAAAGCACTTTTGGAATACGGTCATTGTAAGGTTAAATTTCAATTCTAATTTTTTTGATTCTCTCTTTTTTCTGACCTTTTTTCTCGTTATATTTCTTATAATTACGGTGATTTCTAAAGTTCTTCTTCTTCTTCTAAATCTGTAACAGTTTTACAAATATAAGACGGAGAACAATTAATAAAAAATATGATAGATCTGCGAAGTAAAACACGTATAAAAGAGTGGTCAGCAACAATTAGAAAATATCCATCAATAATTAATTAAAATTATTAAAAAAAAGAAATTTTTTTGCAAAATCAGAAAGAGACGATATTTTGTCGTCGGTGTTTTTTTTTTTTTTTTCTGTTAAAGCTGTAGCTGTTGTTGCTGTTGAAACAAAGTGATATATAAAATAATGCTAAATCTAAAAATTGGTTGCTGGAGTTAACTTTGTTTTTGCTAAAATTGAATTTTTTCCTATGAACGATGTTACCTAAACTATACACATTCTAATTTCCCTTCAATATTGATTTTGACAACTAAGGAAGAAGAAGGAGACGGCGACTACGACGATCATAACGACAACGACAACGGTGGTGACGACCAAAACGAAAACGATGTAGAGGAAAAGAGATGTCTTAGTGACAAACACTGCACACTTATTACACTGCTTTCCAAAAATAAACAACAATTTGAGGACAGAGACGTTTCTAC